CTCAGTTTGAGGGTTGTTTGTTTTAACCTTTCAACCTGGAGACGTTATTTCTACAGTAGCATAGGAACTTCGGTGGCCAGGCCTCTCCCTCGTCTTTGAAGACTGCAGCCATCTCTGGCCTCTGGGCGTGAACACCAAGTGCCTCCTTTTCTAGAATTCCTTCCCATTGATGTGCACCCTGGCTTCTCTTGACCCTGCATACCACGTACTAGCTGTCTGGGTGCTTACTGGGGCCTCCCAGTAAACTGTAATCTCTCTGATACTAAGATGGCACCTTTCATTGTTACAACTCAAGACACGGAATCCATCATTCTTGTACATTAAGGAGCAACTAAAGACTCAGAAATATAAGATAAGCAACTAACTCACTTTAAAAAGTGATTTCTGTGTATCTTAGCGTTATCATTAAGGAGGAAAGGGTTTATTTCATTTGCAGTGAGGGCAGGAACTTAAGTGGGGCAGGGACCTGGGGGCAGGAGCTGATGCATAGGCCATGGAGGGGTGCTGCTTACTGGCTAGTTCCTCATGACTTGCTCAGGCTGTTTTCTTATGGAACCCAGGACAACCAGTGAGGCACCACTCACAATGAACTGGGCCCTCTCCATCAATCCCTAATTAAGAACATGTCTTACAGGCTTTCCTACAGACCATCTTTTTTTTAAATTTTTATTTATTTATTAAAGATTTCTGACTCTTCCTTGCCACCGCCTCCCATTTCCCTCCCCTTCCCCCAATCAAGTCCCTCTCCCTCATCAGCCCAAAGAGCAATCAAGTTTCCCTGCCCTGTGGGAAGTTCAAGGACTACCCACCTCCATCCAGGTCTAGTAAGGTGCCTACAGACCATCTTATGAAGCCATTTTCTTCACTGAGGTTCCCTCTCAGATAACTTTAGCTTGTGACAAGTTGACATAAAACAATCTAGAAAACAGAGTTTAGAAAGAGCATTTCCTTTTAGCAAATATAGCCAGGTATGGAAACCACTGTAATTACTACAACCAAATGGTACCTCAGGGTCCACAGAAGATGAACGTGGAGCAGAGATATCAGATTTGAGATATTCAAAACATAAGAACATTAAATATTGTGAAATGTAGGATTAAAGAGAAGAAAGATGTCCAAATGAGTCAAGGTTTCTGAAATCAGGAAAACATAGGGCCTTCGATTAGGTTCCATTGGTCCTCCTGTCTGTTTTTATGCCAATACCAGGCTGTTTTCAGTACTGTAGCTCTGTAGTAGAGTTTGAAGTCAGGGATTGTGATGCCTCCAGAAGTTCCTTTATTGTCAGGATTGTTTTGGCTATCCTGGGTATTTTGCTTTTCTGTATGAAGTCTAATATTGTTCTTTTGAGGTCTGTGAAGAATTTGCTGGGCATTGCATTGAATCTGTAGATTGCTTTGGGTAACATTGCCATTTTTACTATGTTAATTCTACCTACCCAAGAGCATGGGAGATCTTTCCATTTTCTGGTGTCTTCTTCAATTTCTTTTATCAGATATATAAAGTTCTTGTCATACAGGTCTTCCACTTGTTTGGTTAGATTTACTCCAAGATATTTTATGATATTTGTGGCTATTTTGAAGGGTGATGTTCCTCTGATTTCTTTCTCAGCCAGTTTATCATCTGTGTAAAGTAGGGCTACTGATATTTTTGAGTTGATCTTGTATCTTGCTACATTACTGAAGGTGTTTATGAGTTGTAGAAGTTTCTTGGTAGAGTTTTTGGGGTCACTTATGTAAACTATCCTATCATCAGCAAATAGTGAGAGTTTGACTTCTTTTCTGATTTGTATCCCCTTGATCTCCTTTGGTTGTCCTATTCCTCTAGCTAGGGCCTCAAGAACTATATTGAATAAACATAGAGAGCATGGACAACCTTGTCTTGTTACTGGTTTTAGTGGGATCACTTTGAATTTCTCTCCATTTAGTTTGATGTTGGCTGTTGGCTTGCTGTATATTGCCTTAATTATGTTTAGTTATGATCCTTGAATCCTTGCTCTCTCCAAGACCTTTATCATGAAGGGATGTTGTATTTTGTTATAAAGGCTTTTTTTTAGCATCATGTGGGGATTTTTTCCAGTTTTTTTATATGGTTGATTATATTGACAGATTTCATATGTTGAACCATCCCTGCATCTCTGGGATGAAGAAGACTTCTTCATGGTGCATGATTTTTCTGATGTGTACTTGGATTCGGTTTGCCTGTATTATATTGAGTATTTTTGCATCAGTGTTCATGAGTGAGATTGGTCTGTAAGGTCACAGAAGTTTCTAACCACTGCTGCTATCTAATTCCAGAGCCTCTCAAAACCCAAAGCCTTTGTCAGGCATTTTCTTGTCCCATCCCCTGGCCTCTGGCAATGACTAATCTACTTCTGTCTCCAAAGATTTTTCTCTTCTGGCCAGTCCACGTATCATTCTACATCTGTGGCCATGTGTGTCTGGACTCTCTCACTTATGATATCCTTGTTAAATGTTATTCTTGTTAAAGTTGGTCCTTGTACTTCATGCCCCTTTGTGGTTAAATTGTTCCAAGTATGTGGCTATTGCATGGTTTGCTAACTAGTTGATGGACACTTTGCAATTTTCTAAGCTCCTTTATTATCTGGTAAGTTTAAAATGTATTAATTCTCTTTTTGAAATAATAAATTTTAGGTATTTATTGTGGTGTTGAACAAGGTCTTCGGACTCAGGGGATAGTCTGAGGTAGCTTTCAGCATTATTGTTTTGTTTTAAATATCTAAAATCTGTTTTGTTATTTTTTAAGGGAATGAAGAACTGAAAATGCAGTTTTAGAATTTTTCCTGAGGTCAGCTAAAAATATCTAGGTCCATCAGTGGCAGGTAGACAAAGAAGGAGAGGAATTTGAAAGTGTCTATCTCCATTTCCTCTCGAGTTTTTCATGGCTGACATTCCTTGTGCTCCTGCAGAAGAGGATCCATAACTGCACAGCAGCTTGTAGCTTATTGTCAACTATGGGGGATGCTCCAAAGTCAATGTGTGTTCTGATGTCAGAAGTCTTTCTTGTTTCCTTTGGATGCAGTCCAGCACTGGATAAGGATGTATCTGCCTGGAGTGACTTCCCTCTTTGTGGGATTGGCCAGCTACAAGATGCTGAACCTCAAAGATAACACAAATCTTCACACTCTAGTCTTGTGGTCCAAATAATATGTGTTGAATGATGCACACTGTGTCAGCATCTGTGGGGAAACTAATAAAAACATTTTGATTAAAACTTGTGGACTCCAGAAACAACCAAGAATTGTCTTTTACAGGAAACAGGTGCATAGTGAGTCTTCTTTCTTCTTTTTAAAAAAACAACCCTTCTTTCTTGATTTCTTATTAAGAATCAATGAAGAATTTTAGTTTTAAATATATGTAGCTACTTTAAGCGCATATGTAAGAGAAAGCATGATTTTCATGTTATAAAGAGTCACTTTAGTGGCCAGCAATTGATTCATGTCTTTGGTTGGTGAGTTGTATTGAAAGAAAAACATTCTTAGACCTCTTTTTTTTTCTTTTCTTTTTTTTTTCTTAGACCTCTTGAAAAAATAATTATATTAGTAACAGTGATGTATCCACTACAGTCATTTCAAGTCTCCATGTATCAAATCACCTAAAACCACATTGACTTTTCTTTAGATGAAGCTTAATTGCCCTAAGTCCTTAATTTAAGTTGTGGTTTAGCCATTCTTTCTGTCAAAGTCATTGTTCCAGGAACTGAAGCGTTGGCTCAGCAGCTAAGGGCACTGGTTGCTCTTTCAGAGGACCAGGGCTCAATTCCCAGAACCCAAACAGGCTTACAACCATCTGCAACTCCAGGTCCAGGGGATGAACATCCTCTTCTGGCCTCCACACATACCACATACAGGTATTGTACAGACGTACATGCAGGAAAAACATCCATTCACATAAAAATAAAATAATTTTTAACTATTGAAATATGCTTTGAAACAGAAAAGGACTTTGGCTGAAATGTTAAAACCAAAAATGGCGTATGTAACAAACAAACTGGAGAAGCATTTTTCTGATGCTCCACGTCATCATCAGAACCCTAAGTGTCCCCTTTTATAATAGGGGTCTTTTTATTACACCATTCACTGGAAATCAACATGATTTCCTCCCACAACTATAAGCCTTAACTTCATATACAAAGTGTGAAGATGATTAGTTATTCAAATACCTAACTTTATAGACACTGATCTACACTCTGAGAGAGCATAGAGTCATCCCCTCTCCCTGGATAGTTGAGCCAAACTGAGGCACGGCACTCACGAGTTATGGAGACTGAAAGTCAAGGGGAGCAGGACCCGACAGGATGGGGCACTGATGCTTGTGGTGTTCACAGCACATCATAGGTTACTGAATAGGTTCGGGAAGGCATTTCCGAGCAGCTGCGAGAGATGCTCTTGAGAACCTTGAGTTCTAGAATTCTGCGCACATCTCTAAGAAGCAGGTTTGCTGGTTGTTGTTTTATTTGGGGGTGTGATAAGCTGTCCTGTGCAGGGCTGTCCCCATTTGGACTGGTGTAGGGAATCTTGACAGTGCAAAGAGTCCGCGAGCACACGTTGCTTACTCTCTGCTGGCTCCTGGCACCTTGTCATCGTGGCAGGATCTTACTATATTGCAACGTTCCTCCTGGTGGTGTTCCAAATTTCTCGGTGCTTCCAGGGGGAGGAGAAAGTGGTCTCTACAGGACCCCCTCTTTTGGGGAGGTAGAACTACTCTCTGACCAGTGTCTTTCCCATGAGTATCAGACTACGAACTTCATCTGTCTTCCTCCCTGCTTCTGGCACCTAATATGCTTCTGTGGCTTTGGACAGATTTGGCCCTGACATCTCCAAATCCTCCATCCTCCCTGCTGTCACCACCCTAGCCACAACGCCTCCATGTAAACCTCCAGGACATGTAGACATTGCTCCATGTTCCTGGGCTCAAGGGAGGTCTCTGGTAGCAAGAATCTTATCGCCGGGCAGGCTGAGCATGCACTTTGGCAGGGTCAGGCTGGTGATGATCTGAGACTTATTAAGGGAAACTAGCTAACACAGTAGAGAATGCATCCCAGGGGTAGAAATTGGGGTGCTCACATTCTATCTCTATCCCTGATGGGGGGGATCCTATTGTCAACAAAGCCCTCAGTAATGTATTTGAAACACACTTTTTAAAGAGATATTTTGAGCATATTTTATTTATCCTTTGAGAATTCCATGCACACATATTACAATTTTATTCACATTCTTATCCAAATTCAGCATTTTCAGCCTGAATGAGTTTGTCTGGCCTCAGATGTTAGGTCCGGAATAAATGGAGGCTTCAAGGAAGCAAGAGAGACAGGAAAGCGAGTTGTGTCCTGGGTCAAACTCTGTGATCTTTCTCTGCACCTGTGTTGGCCCTGCCTGGTGGTGATGGGGGGAATCCATTCTTCTGCCAATGTGTCTGCCTTTGTGAAGGCACTCCCTCCAAAGGGTGGCTAAGGGTAATAGATTGAGCTAAAGATTTACCAGGTTGGGTTAGATGTCGGGGTTCTCACAAGTACAGAGGAAGGCCAGTGCTGGCTTTACAACATCTCAATAGGGAGACAACCACTTTAAAGATGGGAGGCTCTGAGTGATTTCCCCTGGGCCACTTGTAACAAGCACCAGGGCCAAGATGTAGCACTGTACAGGTTCAGGCCATTTGCCCTCATTAGCTAGGTAATGATTGGCATCCTCTCCTGCAGGCTCCTCTACCCTCATCAATCCCATTCTTGCGTAAATTAGCCAGAGCTGACTGCTATAGCTGCCCCTCTAAGAATGCTTGTTTAAGGTGGTGCATGTAGATAAGCCACCTCACAGTTCACAGAGGACCACACCCTGAGGAATCAAGAAGCAACTGTTCTGAAACATAACCAGTGGTAGAACACACACAAGTCTACTGTTCCTTATCGGCAACTCCAAAATCCACTCAGCTCTAAAATACAGGTAAACCCAGCCTAAGTGGAGTCACGTGACTCAGAATCTGTATTCCAGCCTGAATGCCGCTTTTGCGAAATTCAGTGAGGCGTGACTCCTGCAGTGTCATGATCGTCTCCTTTGGAGCTTTGTCCATGGGCCTGAGCCTGTTGACCTGCACCCACAGTGGGTGTTCCTGTCCTTAAGCATCAGTAGCGTTTATTGGCTGGCAGTAGGTGGGAGCTACACTCTTTCCCTCAAGCAGGTTCCTACATCTTGGGCGAAGTCCTGCTAAATGCATAAGCACACAGCAAGAAAATGAAAAGTCATACTTTCTGTTCCAGAATGCTATGGGAAGCCTTCTTTTCCACGCTCCAAAGAGCATTCATACAAAGGGCAGTCTACTTTTGATGTGAGGATCCCGTGGACTAAATGAATCCTTTGGTCGGTCTATGATCCCTCAAGTCAAATTCTAAAACAACAAAATCCAGGCATGTGAATGACAGTCATTTTTCAATCTATCAGACAGGGGAAATGGATGTTAAGTTCTCTTTTAAATTTAATTCATTTTCTTAGCGGAAATACATTTGTGCTCACATTTCAATATCTGCTTGCAGGGTACTGTAGGAGATGCCTCTAAGATACAGATGTGCAGTTCATTGTTTTTATAATAGGCAGAAAGGATTTGGAATAAGAGTTTGGATCCTGCAATATGCCAGCTGTGTTGGCATGCGACTGCACTCTGGAGCCCAAGACAAGAGGATCTCAGGCTTGAAATCTAGCCTGGGCTACACAGCAAGGCCTTGTCTTAAAATAGGAATGCAACCACAACGCAGGGTTCTTATGTCTTATTGATGCAGGGGCCTGAGGAGCACCCATTACTGTGTGGAGAGCATGACTTCCACTAACAGAAACATTGTGGAGGCTGGAGATGTGGCTTAGCCGTTAGAGTGTGGCGGTATGCTTGAAGCCCTGGGCTTAAGCCTCGGTGTCCCAAAAACCAGCTCAGTGGTACAAGCAGTACTCAGGATGTGAAAGCAGGAGGGTCAACAATTCAAAGTCATCCTTGACCAGCTTAGTTCAAGGCCAGCCTGGGATACAAGTTTGCTGTGGGAAATCCTACCGTCAGTAGCCTTTCAGTTACCCACCCACTTGGGTGTAGCCTCTTATACTATAAATGCCAATGTAAAAGTAGTGTTCCCTCTCTCTTCCTGCTGCAGGATTTGGTTGCTGTTTCCAATCTGTGAGTCTACCCCTAAATAAATAACCCTTTATTATACTCAATTCTGAACTAGCGTGGGATTTCTTTTTAGCGTCCGTCTTCACAAGTGATGCTGTATCAAAAAGAAAAAAAAAAAGCATTCAGGGAATGGGGAAGAATTTCAGTGGTTGACACTTGCTTAATTCGTGAGGCCCTGGGTACTCATCCCATCAGTACCCACACAGTTATTTAGCACATTTAATTCTGAATAGTAAGTATATCTGGGGTACCTACTATTGACACAGTACTTTCGTCATGTTCATCTGCTTAACCACAATTTCTCCGTGATACGACACCACAGGTAAGAATTAAACAGAGTGGAGGCCCTGTGTTAGATACGCAGTATTACTTCAACGTGTATGCTGTGAAAGTAGATGAGTTTTGGAATTATCCTGGTTCTCAATATAGCCGTCAATCCATCAATTATGTACACATGTGTGCACACACACACATTTTAATTTCCCAGAGATTGAGACTGACACCTGTTATTACAGCCACACAAGAGATACACATGATATGTAATCCTGCCTCAATATCAATCGCCTTATGTTTTGTCAGCGACAACCTCTCTGGAGCCAGTACGTCCCGCCTTCTATAATGCCATCAATTTTCCCGCAAGAATTAAAAAATATTAAGAATCCTCCAGTTTTCCCAGATACTTTTTTCTTCCCTTAGGTAGATCCAAGAGGAAGATTATTGCATCTGTGACCACGGGGGACAACACAGACAGGACAGAGAGACAACAGGACAAAGGACAGTATGAACAGGGCAGAGGGTTCTCTCTCTAGTTCTGGGACAATTCCAGTCTGGAACCACGTCCCTGCTGCTGTCAGCTGAACTGTCTTTATGGACCATCAATTTGAATCTAACTGTATTGGGATGAGAGAAAGGGATCATCCTTGTCCTGCTCATCTGTGGTTTGTCTTCCCAGTGCTCCGAGGACGCTAAAGGCATGCTGACTAAATGGCTAGTGCCACCTATTGGCAACTCAGAAGCACAAGTGATTGTTCGCAGTTCTTGCACGTGTATTTGTGCTTGGTGAAAGCTACTACAGCTGAAGCTGGTAGCGGCAAGGATAGACACAGAGACCTTCTAAGTTACAGCTCCTGTTAGTGCCCAGAGCCCCCAAGTGCAGTGAGAATGGAAAACCTAGCAATCACAGGAAAGATGATACTACATGGTTTATTTTCACTGTTTATCTTGAGTGCATAAGATCATCTACAAGGCAAATCTTTTGAAACAGCATCTTGATTCTTCTCTTTTGGCATTCAAGAGTTTAAAAATAATAAAGGAATTTTAAATTCCAATACTTCTCTGTATTGGGGATCAGTAGGTCACAGATAATGCTCACACAACTGAATTTGCTTATATTAAATAAGAAAGTTGGACTCCTACCTTAAACCATGATAACATTTGACTCAATAGAGTCTAATCATACAGAGAAATATTATTCAGTCTTTCAAGGAAAGATACTCTGATACTGATGTAACATGTGTTGAGTCTTGGAAATCCTGTGCTAAGTGAATCAAGCCATCCATACAGGGCAAATCCTATGTGGCATAAGGTAAGCCAGTTCACAGCGATGGAAAAGAGAAAGCGGCTAACCCTAGCTGGGGAAGCAGGAAGATGCTCTCCAATGGGCAGAGACTGAAAGCCGGGAAAGTTGGACAGCTACTCAGCAACGGAAGCCCCTTTAATACTGTCAGACTTCTTGAAATGTTAGATAGTTTGACATGATGGCACATGCTTCTAATCCCAGCTCTTGGTAGCCAGCCTGGTCTACATAGTGAGTTCCAGGACAGTTAGAGCTATGTGAGAGACACCATCTCAAAAATCAGACAAGAATTTTTTTTAAAGGGACAAACGCAGTCATAAACAAAATAAGTAGCAGTAAGTATTAACGAGGATTAGGAGAATCCAACCCCAAATGTATAGCTAGTATATTTGCAATAGTGCAGCTGCTTTGAAAAAGAGTCTAGACACGGCTTAGATGGTTACAGTCAGCGTATGGCCCACTGTTCTACCCTAAGAAACTTGGAAGTGTGATGTGCACAAGAAACTTGTGCATACGTATTCAAAGTAGCTTTACCTGTAGTGGCCCCAGATAGAGACAACGGAAACAATTGGAATTGTCTCATCAATGGCATACCCACTGATGAAAAGTAAGCAGAGTGTGCCATACTCATAGGGAGGAATGTTACTGAATATGCACCGACAGAATGAAGTAGGTCCATGTTAGCAGCTCCCATCAGCCTTGGAGTCACTGCTGAGAGAATGCAGTCACAGAGGACCAGGTAGGTTCCCATTTATGTGAAGTGCTGACAATAGACTAAACCAGAGGACAGATACTGGTTCAGCACTTCCCAGGGTCAGGTTTAGGGTAAATAGGAGTGCCTACACATTTCTTTGGCAGATGATGAAATATTTTAACACTTACGGTGGTGACAGAGGTACATCTGTGAGTATAGTGGAAACCACTGAAGTGGACACTTTAAAATGGATTCTATAAAATGAGAATTAGATCTCAATAAGAACTGTTATAAAGAACTAGGAAAGTTGGCTCAGTAGTTAACACTTGCTGCTCCTGCAGAAGGCCCAGGTTCAATTCCCAGTAGCCCCATGGCAGTTCGCCAGACACTCACATAAGACACACACATACAGGGAGGCAAAACACCCCAAACATAAAACATAATAAAATAAGTCTCTAAAAACATTTTAAAAAAGAAAAATGAATCACCATCATTAAATTGTAACTTCAATTAAAAATAGCTACAGAGCTGGAGAGTGGTGGTTGGGGCAAGCTTTTAATCCCAGCACTCAGGAGTCGGAGGCAGGCAGATCTCTGAGTTCAAGGCCAGCCTGGCCTACAGAGTAAGTTCCAGAAAAACTGAAAAAGAAAAAAAAAAAGGCACAACCAGAGAAGAGACATAGCAGCACTCCACGGTGTTAGAGCATATAGAATTATTCGTGTCTAGGTCGAGTAAATGTCAGGTTGTTGTGGTATTTACAGTCGAAATGTTTGTTCTGTGGCTGTGAGAAACTTCCAGTAAAGCTAAGGCGAGAACATCATTCCCTCTTCGTCTCCTGTGCTTACTCTGTTTTCATGGAGAAGCGGGAAGGGCTACATTGTGGACATTCTCCTCGACTGGGACCCTCACTCCTCCTTCTTGGATTGTCTGCTATATTTGTTAATTTCCTCAATGCAAAACCTTTGTTTTTCATGCCGCATATTGACAATACCCTCAGTAAAGTCATTCCCAGAGTCTTAGGCTGGGGTTGTGGCTCGAGGCCTTCACTTCCAGTCTCAGTGCTGCGAAATTAATAAATAGTGTGCAGGTATACGTGCAAATACATGTGTGACTTTCTTGGTCATCTCTGGGTGGAAAGCCCAGGGCCAGCTGCCCCATTCCTGATTTAATGAGCCATCGGAATGAGAATTTCTTGCATGCTAGGTAAGAATGAAGATGCCAGGACGTAATCCTGAGCCTCCTGCAACCAGGTGCTTTTTGTGGATAGTGGCACTAGACAACTTGAAAATATGCTCTGCGTTTATTTTTAAAATATGAGAATTTTTTAAGTCTCCTTGCCATCCAGAGATTAATAACATAGCACACAAAAGCTGATCGGTACTTACGAGTCACTTAGGGCTGTACTGTGCTGAGCTATAGAGGGCTTGCGGTGAACTCAGAGACCCTGGATTCTACCTACAGCACTGGACCAAAAAAAATAAAAATAAAAAAGAAGAAGAATCATATAAATCACACCCTGTTTTAGACAGGAAGAAACAAGAAAGAGGATTGTTCCCAAACTCTGCAAGCGACTGAGACACGGGTCCAAGACAGATCTGGGCAGCCAGGAGGACCTACTTTAGACACCCAAAATAGCATCCTCAGTGGCCTCAGGGAGAATTCGGTTGAATAAACACCTCTGAAGTACATGACACGATTCACCATTAGAAAGGACCTCCGAGTTCACATCATAATATAAATAGCATCATCCAGAGAAGAGAAAAATGAGCCAGGATGAGGGAGGGGCTTCTCTCGTTGGCTACAAGCGCTCCTCCACTTAACACACAGATGTAAGGTTTGGCACTTGGAATTCAGAAAACACCTCAATAAGCACACGCCAGGCACGGATACATGTCTTTATCTGTGGAGCTATTAAAGATTTTCCAGATGTTGGGGCTCCGCAGCACAACGTTAGAAGATGGCTTTCTCCCCTGGTTTTTTTCATTATTATTATTTCTGGCCCTGGAAATTGGCCAGCAGGATTATTTGTGGTTCTGAGTTGAAAACATGCCTTAACAGCAGGCAGAAGCGGTTTCCCTTTGTTTCCAGGTTTGAGTGGTGTGGTAGTTAGAAATTGGCCCCCGTCAGAAACCTCTGCGCCTCATGTTCTGTGCCTCGTACATACATGATTAACCAGGACAGGGCGTACAGCGCATGACAAGCGAGAGATTTATCGATTCTGGCTGAGTGACTGGAAAAGCAACCTTGACCACTTTGTGAAGTCCATAATGGGCCCACAAATCAGGGCTGGAGTCAGCTTAGCATGTCCGTGTAGATGGGCAAGGAGCCTGTGTTTGATCTGACTCAGTAACGCTGCCCAAACGGACTACATTCTACAATTCAAAGTTCTCCCCCCCCTTTTTCACAGAGATAAATCATCTTTATTTAAAATAGAATTAATATTTAATAAAATACAATATTTTGCTAGCTATCTTGGGGAATACTTTCTACTGACTAACGCTTTGAAATAAATTTATAGGATTAAAAATTTGCTTTCAATTTTAGAACCCACTTGAGGCAAAGTTCAGTGATCTGGAAATGGTAGAAAATTCTAGGATTCCCAATTCAGATTGGGCTATAAATAAAAATATGCTGGGATTTAATGAGCTGATTACTGAACCACAGACATTTCATTTTGCAGACACTCGATCCTCCTGATTCAAATATGGTATCGAGCAGTATGATGATGCAATGTCTTCTGAAATTAGGAGAAATAACTCCAGAATAAAAGACACAAACTGTTAAACTATCTTCTAGCGATCAACTTTCTGAAAGCAGGAAAGGAAATACAGAGTGTAATAATTGCACACACACGTGTATAGCCGTGCGGATCCCTTTCAGCCCACGTTCCTAGGTTGGCCGGTTAGCTGGCTTGGGAACTACACAAGTGGCCTGTCTTTGGGTTTTAAATCTCATTCATAGTGGTTTTCTGTTTAGAGTAGCGATCCTACAGCCTAGCGACAGTGGATAATTCCTTTTATATTATCTTATTTTAGAGCAATCTGCTAAAGTGGAAAAGTAGAACATCTACTTGGCTCTCAAGAGAGCTGATGATGCATGCCATCCGTCCCAGCACTCAGGAGGTTTAGGCAGGCAGATCTCTGAGTTTGAGGTTATCCTGGTCTACAGAGCAATTTCCAGGACAGCCAGGGCAATACATCGAAATCCTGTCTCAGAAGTAAATGGGGGACAGGGAGAGAAAGCGAGAGAGATGGAGGGAGGGAGGGAGAGAGAGAGAGGAAGGAACCTGATTTTTTTCCAGACAGCTAAATTCTTTCCCCCTGGACCAAAGTAAAAATGACTAAGTTCTGCAAAATGGACGTTCATACAAGAACCAAGAGGAGCGAGAATCTTTCATTCTGATTCTGATGTCTGACTTGTTTGATATGGAGAAGGAGGAGGACGACAACTTCCGGGTTTCAAAAGGAGTGGTAAGGCTTATGACTTCATGTTACAGGGAGTCTCATTTTCTCTTCCAATAAATGCTTCCAAACAGAAGGTTTAGCTCAGTCAACTTTAGGGCTATCTTTCCGTTTGAGGCAGAAAAGACAAGTTAGGTATTTATGGGCACTGGCAAACATTGCTACACCTCAGTGCTGGGGAATGTCTCCAACCGCGTACCCGTGATACCTCTATTTACAGTGAGCTGGTCGCTATCTCTAGAACATTAGCGATTTCTGCTTTGTTTGCTTTCTTTTGTCTCTGTGGTGCTGAGAATTCAACCCAGAGTTGTGAGCATGTTAGGCATGTCCCCTACCACCGAGCCACATCTTCAGACCTGATTTCCAAATGTCCGCATATTGCTGTATGCACTCTTAAATGAAACCAAACTGGCTAGCATCGAGCCAGGCAAGCAAAGTCCTTTACTTTGCAGGCTCCTGCGAAAGCATCTCCCACAGTACGCGGTCAGCGGACACGTGCCTGTAAGGCTCTTCGTAAAGCTGTGTTATCTCACCGTGAGGAGAAAGCAAAAGATCCACGACCCAGGAAAATTTTCTCCTACACAAGTATTTTTCAGGCTGCTGCTGTCCCTGGACATACATAAAGTCACTGGAGATTATCTGAAATTCTGAAATTCCTCAAGCCTCGGCATGAAGAAGGGTGGGAATGTTTGATAAAAATAGACGGTCCAGCCCGCTTGTCTGGGGACAGAGAGGACATGCTCAGTAGATTTTCCTCCACCCTTGCAGTTACTCATATCACGCTGAACTTGATTGACAGACGGTAAGCTTATCCATTGTTTCAGTCCCTTGGAATTCCTGAAGCCTCCTTGCCACTTGCTAATAAAACCGAGAAAAGGAGCGTGAGCCGCCAAGAAGGCATTTCCTCATCGCAGGCAGGAAGACAGACAGAAGAAATCTCATTTAAGACTCTAAAATGAATTTGCACAATGCTTTAGGCAAACTAAAATCTAATCAAAAACCTCTTTTGGAACTATCTGTGAATTAGTTTCCAGTAAACCCTGGTGTTTACATTTTTATCTGCCGGTCTAACAGTTTATGGACAGAAGAATGTTTTCCTACAAAATATTCTGGTGGGGGTGAGGGTCTGTTTACTCCCGGGGCGGACCATGCTGCTGGGGGAAATCCTGGCTGTGTTATCACAGAAAAGCTGGTTTTCAGCTCCGAACCAGATCTTCAATATTTGTGTTTCTTCCAGATCGCCTCTTATTTCTAATTTTTAAGGTAATTGCATTATTGAGATAAATTAATATAGAATAAACTTTGCTTGTTTTAAGTATACAGTTTGGTGAGCTTCAGGATGCTGTGCCATGCAATACCCACTGCTATGAAGTTACAGTACTTTCACCACCCACAAAGAACCCAGTTCTTATCCCCCCACCCCTCCCGCTCTGAGCAGCCCATAGCCTTTGCTCCGCTATGTAGGACCTATGAGGGGCATTTCATACCAACAGAATCAAGCAATGTGTGATCCTCTATGACAGGATTCTTTACTCATTCGTGATGTTTTAAAGATGAAATGTCTAATTGTAAAAATTAACAGGAGCCCTTTCAAACTCACAAAGAAGGATCGCTAGTCTCGGAATTGTACAGTGCTTCTGGGTATCAACTATGCACACTCATTTTCAGAAATGGAGCCCAGGCTACACCTATTTTATGGAAAAAAGTGATGGATGAAGTTAGCAAGATTTCTTTCTTAGACGTCCTCACAGTTTTACAAATAGCCAGGGTTTAAGGACCAAAGCTAGCGAGCGCCCCCTCCTCCCAGCAGTACTGGTGACTAAGCCCAGGGTCCTTCAGATGTAAGCACTCTATCAACAAGCCCCGCCTCCAACCTCTGTTTGAAAACTTTCCACATGGGACTGGGGAGCTTTCTCAGTGGATAAAAAACACCTCCAGTACAAGCACAAGCACCCGAGTTTGATCACCAACACTCACAAAATCCCAGAGGGAGAAACAACTATGATCCCAGAGCTCATGGATCAGCTAGTCTAGCCAATCGATGAGCTCCAGGTTCAGTGAGAGATCCTGTCTCAAAAAACAAAGTGGAGAAGCAACTCAAGAAGACATCCCAGTGTCAAATTCTGATTCCCTCCTGCACCCAGACAAGCACACACACATGCAACCTTCCTAACTCCTTCATAATAAACAAATAATAAATAAATAGTCCTTATAATATGATAAAACAGCATAACCTTTGACTAGGGAACAGAACTCCACAATGCTTGGTGTACAGATTCCAAAGGCCCTCTGCAGATCCACTGAGAACCCCCTTTGGAAAGAGTTGGGGAACCAACTTGAAGTATGTGCTCTTATCAGAGTTTATAAGCTAAATCTAGTACACTCGATAGTCTCATATTTGTTATTGGGATTTAGTCATAGAGAGTACTATTGCAAAAAATATTTTATTCAAAGCATAGTATTGAAAAAGTTATATAAAAGTAACTTAGTGGTCAAATATTTGCCTAACATGTATAGAGACCAGCCTTTAGCACACACAGGAACACACATGATCACGTGCTTACACTCATGCATACACACTTAACCCCCCACACACACACATGCTCACAGGCTCACACACGTTCACACTCACAAGAAGCAAACGGCACATATTCACCCCTCCCCACTGGAGTGCACTTGAAGTCTAAGTGAGTCGACTTCAAGCCATGGAGAAAGATACACTGGCTCACCTGAAGATGGGGGAGCCATTCCTTTGCTTGTGTGAAGTAATGGTATGGATGACAGAGAAAGCCCAAGTCATCAAGCGAAACTGAAATTTGTCTTGCTGTGTCTCTGGGTGAGTCACCCTTCACTCAAACTCCATTTCCTTTGGAAAACAAATTGGAAGCAGTAGGAACATCTACTGGCGAGGTTACTTCTAAAGCAAATTGAAGTACATATACAAAAATACTCTGTGAAGTATATGGTATTATTATATTTTTCAAAATACAATAAGTAAAAAA